GCTTAGGTAGGGGGTGGAGTCCTGGGGGGCAGTTAGGGGCAGGGGTCCCAGGAGGGGGCAGTCAGGGGACAAGGAGCAGGGGGAGGGTTGGGTTTCTGAGGGGGGCGGGGAGTGGAAGGGGCGGGGCTAGGGCAGGACGGGGGCGGGGCTAGGGCAGAACAGGGGCGGGGCTCCTCCCGTCCTCTTTTTTCCTTGATGAAATATGGTAACCCTAACTCAAAAGGATTACTTACAGGAATAAAAAAATTGCCATACTGGATTAAATCAGTGGTCTTTCTAGTCCAGTTTGTTGTCTGTCTCTGTGTCAGGGACAGGGTGAGGGTCAACTGGCCTAGGAGTTAGCATCAGGCCTGCGCTGAGGATCTAGGAGCCAATTACCAAGAATCAGGCCAAGCTGGAAAGCCAGGAAATCAGAATCAAGAGACTAAACAGAGGACAGGGATCAAGAGTCTGTTACCAACAGTCAGGAAACTGGAAGGTCAGAATCAGAAGGCAGGAACACGTAATCACAAAACCAGGAGTCCATGAAAGTGCGAAGTCCGGTTGTATGGACAACTTCGGCATGTCTACACTTACCTCCGGAGCGATCAATCCAGCGGGGGTCAATTTATCGCATCTAGTGAAGACGCAATAAATCGACCACCGAGCGACTCCGGTACTCCATCGGAGCGAGAAGCATGGGCGGAGTCAATGGGGGAGCGTCAGCAGTCGGCCTACCGCAGTGAAGACACCGCGGTAAGTAGATCTAAGTATGTCAACTTCAGCTACATTATTCATGTTATTCACGTAGCTGAAGTTGCGTAACTTAGATTGATCCCTCCCCCAGTGTAGACCAGGCCCCAGTTTCCTCCTCTAACTTAAATAGGAGCAGCAGCCCAATCAGGAGCCTTGGAGCTCTCCCAGTCAAAACATAGGGGTGGGGCTTGTGCCTCAATTTGGGTTTTTGGGTCTGTACCAGCTGTTGTCTACAAGCTGCAGGGTGGAAGATTGGAGCATGACAACTCCCATGACCCTCCACGGACCTCAAACTGCTACCAGCTGCCTCAAAGGAAAAAGAAAGAAAATCTGTAGTGGAGAATCATGGAATTAACTGCCAATAAGAGAAATTTCTTCCTAAACTTGTCAGTTTGTTTACACCCTAAAGTATAAGGATTTATAGCCCATCTATTCTCCCGCCAGTATAACTGTTGATATTCTCATGCATATAAATTTCTAGTAGGAATCAGAAAAGGGTTAAACTCTTGGAATTAATCCTTTTTGCTGCAATCTAGGTTGCTATTACAAATTGTACAAATTGTATTAGATTTTTCAGCTGATCAGCATTAGGATCAGCTTAACTTTTAAGTGTTATGTAGCAGCCAGAAATATCTTGAATATCCATCTACTTTCTACGCTGAAAATCCATGCTGATGCCATAAGACAGCAGGAAGTGGACTGACACTTAAAGTTGTTTAGATGAGGAACTTATCAGCCTAATAAACAAACAAACAACCCATATCATCCCCTTACAATGTCACCATTTATTAATTTTACTGAATTTTATATATATGCCTGTAAGCCACAAGCTATTGTCCTTTGATCTTTATTAGAAATTGGGGTTGTTTTGTTTTGATTGTTTATATGGGAAACACTAGTTGTATTTATTTTGTTTAATTTCATATTTAGTTATGTATGATTATATACATTAATACTTGCCCCTGTTTGCTATTCCACAAATAGTAGTAATAAAAATTTAGACCTGTTTGGTCTACAGTTGTTAAATTGTTGACAGTATTCAGAACTGTTTCTCTACTCTTCTAGGTATGCTAAAGGTTATCCTCCTTACTCTCCTTATATTGGAAGTTCTCCCACATTTTGCCATCTGCTGCATGAAAAAGTGCCATTTTGTTGTTTAAGACTGGACAAGGTAAAAAGTTTATATTAATGGATAGACCCATGTGTTAAACAAGGCTCGTTTGTTTGTTGTGGCCAAACACAATTTTGTCCTTGTCTGCACTTGCAGATAAGCAGCATTCAGCACCCGTTCAGCTACAACCAATGCTGACACACAGTGTTGCTAACAGATGTTTGTAAAGCTCAGACAAGACTGAGTTCTTTATCATTTCAGCTGACACATTTTAGCTTGGGAAGTAAAAAATCACCTCTAATATTGTTATCCCTGAATATCGACTCCTATCCAAAGCCACTGAGTTTTTGTTTTCTATACTGGTTTTAGGGGTGCCAACATAACTACTATGAAGATGCCAAAGCCTATGGATTCAAAAATAAATTGATTATAGTTGCAGCAGAGACAGCTGGAAATGGCTTATACAACTTTATTGTTCCACTCAGAGCTTATTACAGACCAAAGAAAGAACTCAACCCTATAGTATTACTTCTGGATAACCCGTAAGTGTATTTTTAAGAAAAAAATTTACTATACAAATAAGTGTTTAAATCTGAATATGTGCATTGTCTGTGGTTGATGGTCACATATCATGTGACCAATTTAAATCAAAAACATTGTGGCACATACATCTTTAAAGCAAGAGTGGACACAAGGATGATATCACGTGTGTTGTGCAGTAAGGACCTAATATAACTCTCAGTGAAGTCAATGGGAGTCCTTCCACTGACTACAGCGGGAGTTGGATCAGGACCTAGCACAATACAGTTCTCAGTATGGTAACACCAGGTTTATAAGGAAAAGCTGAGAAATCGGAGTACTATTAATTATAAAATAGGTTGTAAAATCATTTAAAATTCTAAAATTTTAGGAGATAAATTGCAATTTAAATATTGCATCTAACATGTGAAAGTAATCTTAACTTCTCTGCATTTCAGATGTAGATTGAATTTCTCAGTTTCCTGTCTGCATCCATCTTTTCCCAGCCTACAGAGCACCTAGGGGAGCACTATTTTATTCACACTGCTGACCTGCACATTAGGAGCCAGTTTGTCCTTTCAAGACACTGACTCAGATCTAAGCCCGCTCAGGCCTCTGAACAAGTTTGCGTATGGTTTGCACAGTAAATAGTAATTATAGTACTATTTGACTGGTCTATCAATTAAATGCAGAAGACAGAGCCTATACTATCTAAGCATATTTTTTATTACTGCTTAGTTCAGAGATGATCAATACTATAGACTGTAAATGCCATTTGGGAAATATCTCTGTCCACTGATTGCCATATAAACCACAGAACAACAAACATTCATTAATGCACTTATGGCTCAGTTGTGCCATTAAGTCGCAGTCCTGATTTAAGGGTGACGTAGATCCTCATCACCTCAGGAACAGCTGTAGGAGGAATTGTACCATAGGGAACAACTGTGCCATAGCCTCCCCAATGCCCTTTGGAGACACTAGAAGGAAACAGTTCCTTCTTGTGTTCCCCCCATGAAGAGATTACATTTGTTCTTGGCTCTTATACAAGAAGGACAAAATGTTCCTTGCACTGTCCTCCACCTCAGTCTATGCACTCCCATGCCAGGGCAAGGCAAAATCTGTCCCTTTCTAGCAGGGGTTGGCAACGTTTGGCACGCGGCTCGCCAGGGTAAGCACCCTGGCGGGCCGGGCCAATTTATTTACCTGCTGACGTGGCAGGTTCAGCCCATCGCAGCCCCCACTGGCCGCGGTTCGCCGTCCAGGGCCAATGGGGGCGGCGGGAAGCCGCGGCCAGCACATCCCTCGCCCGCGCCGCTTCCCGCCGCCCCCATTGGCCCGGGACGGCGAACCACGGCCAGTGGGGGCCGCGATCGGCCGAACCTGCCGTGTCACCAGGTAAATAAACTGGCCCGGCCCGCCAGGGTGCTTACCCTGGCGAGCCGCGTGCCAAACGTTGCCGACCACTGCTTTATAGTGATGGCTGAAAATGGAGTGTGTCATGCAGGTACACTGACTTGTCACATTAAAAAGGGTTTATCTGCATTGTTTATGTGCTTCAGTTTCTGGGGGAGGGAGGGAGGCAGAGGTCAGATAATGAAGGGCATATTTTTTTAGTTTCATAACATAATTTAACCCTCTGTGCACTCTGCTTTTCTTTCTAAAATAATACCTGGCTACTTTTAACATTGTAATTGTTGCTTGGTATACTAGGGTAGAAATAAAGGTCAAAATCTAGTAACTTTTTTCCAGTCTTAAGCAATCTGCTCTCTCACAGTGTAATGACTGTCAATGCTCTGACTGATATTTCACAATCTCTTTACCTTATCACAAAGTAGTGCACTCACTGCTTTTGTGCCACAGCTGTTGACATTCCTTTCTGCTGTCTCTCACAGTAATGATTCATCTTCTACTTCTGCAATGACTGATAGAAATCATCTGATGTCTGGAAGGATTTTCCAGTCTGAAAAGGTCAGATCAAGATAGTGTGGTCCAAAAGGGCCGATGGAACATGTAACATGTGGTATTTAGGTTTCAGGAAAACGGGAAACAAGGGATCATAAAAAAGATTGTATGCACTAAGAACCAAACTTCTCTTCTATGGCTTCATTCCAGAGTCATAAAGTGTATTGTACAAAATATAAAGTGGTATACAGGTGGTAAAACTCCAAAACATCCAGAAACTCAATTCCAATAAGCACTTGAAATACCAAATATTTATTTTTGATCTTTTGGAAGTTTCCCCATCCTATGATCCCCCATCATTCTGTCTCTGCCCCAAGCTTCTGTTGGGGAGAAGGTGTCTTCTCTTCTGGCAGGAACACTTTCCAAGAGAGGCTTGGTAGCCACCATTGCCACTCACGGAAATCTATTAGGATGGGCTCTGACTCCCTCCCAAGGAAAGATGTTTAACTAGAGAATCTCCATGTCTATCATCCAGCTACATGTGTCTAGGAGGTGTAGCTGGGAGCTCTCTTCCTTCCTTACAAGAAAGAGTCTTCCTAAGTTGGCTAAAAAAAGCTCTTCTCTCTCATAAGAAGCATTTTCTCTTCCCCCAGAAGTAGCAGGCCATGGTTCTGGGCTTTTTCAGCCCATATGGCTCATGCTGGGGGTTCCATGATAGTATCTAGACAGAGCTCACAGCATACTGAAAACCTTCACGGGGCCTCCCATATGTACATGCATTTTGGGGCACTAATGCAAGGGAAGCCTCAGGAAGGAACAGCAGGAACAGTAGAGTGAGATAAAGTGTAACTAAACTCATTTCAAACCCCGTGAACAGTTTGGGTCCAGTCCAGGTTGGTTAATATTTGGGCTGAGCCAGTTTTCCCACATCTTGTATAAAATTGGAAATCAGCTAGCAGTTGTGAGGGGAGACTGGACTGCTATATCTGTTCAAAATTCTCAATTTTTAAAATTCAGCACAATCTTAGGATTTTAAGCCTTTAACTGCATTTTATTTTATCTAGCTCACTTAGTTTTCTTTAAAATCCCTGACCTTTAATGGGTGGGGGTTTCTATTTGCCTTTTCTTTAATGAGTACTTTCCATTCAAGCACAGCTTATTTGGGGCAGGGGGAGTTGAAAAATTAATAGTTGTGTACTTTAGAGAGCTATATAATTTCCATTTTCAATTAGGAGCTTCATGGATGCTTCATCCCTCCCAACTTGCTCCCCTTGCAGTGTTTTCTGAGCATATACGATCTGTTCCAAGTATTCCATTCAGCTACAGAAACAGGGCAGATTTCCCACTTGATTCCCATTAGTACTATAGAAGAGAATAATTCCCTAACATGGTGAGCATGATGCAGCCTCTTTGGACCATGTTACAGTGTTTCAATAAGTCCAAGGTAAACAAAACTTGGAACCAAAAAACTTGGAACCTTTAGGCTGCACCATGATAAAAAGAGGCCAGCTGCATAAATTGAATCCTGGATCAGATCCCAGGCCCTACTCTCCTCTGGGTGTATGTGCCATTGTCCCATCTCTAGTATAAATAGTTTCACTTTACAGAATCTGAAATCAGTCAGAGTGGGTTCCACTTCCCCCAATACAGATTTCTTCTAGGACAGTACATAATGGTGTTAGTATATCATAGTTCTATTTATTCCAGTAATGAACAGCATAAACACACACACACCAGAAGAGATCTATGAAAATTATCCTTTTAAAATTATGGTTAGCAAATTTCAAATAAGACTGGTCTTTAAGAACACACATGAAAGTGTACAGTGCCCTCTAGTGTTTTTCTGAACTCTGGTTTCAGGCCCATGCTTTCATTTTTTTACACTCTCTGATATGTTACTTTTATTATTTTTAGTTTATATTTGCTGAAGATTGAAAAATGCCATTTTTGTTTACATAAAATTATGCCATCTCACCATTAAATGAAAGCTATGGTCTCTGCTTAAGCTCTTACCAAGATGTGACCTAGCCCGCTGGAGCAGGTTCTGTGCAAAGCACTCAGCTGAATTACTGTAAACATAAGGTCACTGCAATCAGTCTCCCACACTTTTCACATCTTACAGCAATAGGGTGAAATCCTGGCCCCACTGAAGTCAATGGGAGTTTTGCCATTGACTTCAAATGAGTTAGGATTTCACCCACTGTAAATTAGCATGTATCCCTTGCTATAGTTTACTAGTTTCTCTTAAATCTTTTTTGCAGTTTGTTAACAGAGGCAATTTGCAGTAGTGTGAATGTTTAGATATGTCCTCATTTCATGCTGATTAAAATCTCGTCTGCTATCACTGTACTTTCAGTATCTAAGACAGAAGAAAAAGGTATAAGACTTATAGTACAATACAGAAAGAGTACAGTAGAAACCTATTTTACCTTTCCTTTCTTATAAGGAAATTTGAGATTAAAATTAGCTTTTGACCTTTATTTTCATCCTAGTATGTCAAGCAACAATTACAGTATTAAAAGTAGCTAACTATTATTTTAGAAGGGGTGGAAGGGAAAGAAAAATGCAGACAGTTGGGAGAAATGCATAACTTTTAGGGAGAAATGATAAGGCAAGGTCCATAGCTGGGGTAAAATTGATTTTAATGGAACTATAATGGTTGAAACCAGGTGAGGATCTGGTGCCAATCAGCATTTTCATAAATAATATGTTTACGGTCATGAATTGGAATATAATTTAGTAAGGCCTCTTTAGTCTTCAATAATTTTTCTTTAAATAAAGCATTTGCTGTATGATTGTGCCATAAAGTTTCTGATTTAGAAGACTAACAACTTTTATGTAAATCACATTTAAACTTGATCATTCTTCATCATGATCAAAGCAAACAGCATTGAATGTTGATGCCCAGAAATATAGTTTCCTATGTAATTAAAATGTTTATTTAACATTTCCTAGTTTTCCCCTCCTCTCTCTTCCAAACAAACTAACATAGTTTATTCAGTTTCTTCAGAAGAGATGCAACTGTTGTGATGTTGTGTTTCATTGTAACCCATCTGCTGCTTAGGCCAGATATGCATTTTCTGGATGCAATCTGTTGGTTTCCAATGGTTTACTACATGGTGGGCTCTATTGACAAGTAGGTAAAATAATCCTCAGAACTCTAAACATTGTAGTGTTCAGTGGTTTGTCATGTGCTGTGCTTTGTAACTGCATGTTTGAATGTCGTGATAGTACTTGAAAAATACCCCTGCATGCATGGTTTGTGTCAAGGTGCTGTAATTTGGAATTTCAAATTTCTGCCAAAGGATTTCAATCACTCAGAAATGAGTCACTATCTGGTTTTGCTTTATATAGTACACTGGCAGATCAGGCCGTCTTTTTAAATGCTTTCTTTGGTATTGAATTTCTAGGTGAATACTGGCTGGGATTGTTAAAGGATGTTACGAGATTCAGTAACTTACGTCTAAAACCATTAGACTGCTTTGAAAATATCACCTACTACTTCTACCTAGCCCTTTACTATTAAGTATTTATAAAAGCTTATCTAGATTTCATGGCATCACTGATGGACGAGTCAGGCTAGAACTCAGACTAGAAGAGACTCTGTCATTAGATTTTCAGTATATTCCCGTTTCTAAACAGTCATCACTAACGCAAAAAATTAGCTCTAGTAGAGGGCCCAATCCTGAGGCATTTGGGCATCTACAATACTTATTCTGTCAAATACTGGTCCTATGGAAGTCAGTTGGGGGGGGGAAGAAAGGGGGATTTACCATAGACTACATTGATAGGTAAAATTGTGACAATTTCAACAGCAGTTCTAGCTGCTCAGCATGTCTCAGGATCAAGCCTATTGTAAATGGAGACATATATACTTACAAATGTACCTTAGTGACAGACAACACAAACTGGTATTCATAATACACTGATAGAAGTTATCTTAGAACTTTTAGGATACATCTACACAGCCTACAGCAGAGAGTCTCCCAACTCACATCAGAAGAAAAGCCGAAGTTCTAGCCTGAGCTGCAGCTTCACAGCTCTGTCTACAAAGCTATTTTTAGAGCACCAGTGTGAGCCCCACTAACCCAAACCTGTCCACCTAGGCTGGGAGGCTTACTACTGGTGGCTGTGTAGACATAGCCTTAAAATTGGCCATTTCCTTGATGTGTTTAATGACCATAGTGGTCCTGACTAGTTGTACTACAATATATCACCATATATTTTGTCTGGCTATACCAAAAGAAGGACAGGAGACACTTGATATGAATTTAATCGGGCCACGACTATTAGAGATCTGGGACAACCCGGCAGATGAAGTGTACAGTACAGGCTACTCCATGTTTTTTTAAAATAACTACTCGGGGCTTCCACCAGCCCCCCTTCATTTTCGATCCAGGTCCCCCAGCCAACCCATGGCTTGGATCTTACCGTCCACCTTCTCTCATAGGAGTGTTAAGGTAGGCTGTAAGAAAGGGGTGTTGGCTTCCTTTTGTACCAATAGGAGCCCCAACTGCCCCCTTTTTGTTCCTTTAACCAGCACCTCCTTTTAAGTCCTTTACCAGGCCATTTATATGGTCACTGGATGCCTTCCCTATGGAGTACCTACACTGAACATCCACCCCACACTTACAAAATAAGTTGTGACATATAGCCCACCACCTTTTGTGCTCACCATAATAGGTCTTCCCTAACACCGGCTGTGGAGAAGGCAAAAAAGAAAAAAGAAAAACCCTCACTCCACCGAAGCCAATATGGTGGTAAGAGAAAAATTCCTTCCCAGCCCTCCTAAATAAGGAGCAATGCAATGCCCACAGCAGGTCCTAACAAAACCTGAAATTCACACCTGTAGGACAGGGAGGGTGGGTACTGCCTTGCCTGCTGCATGGAGAAAAGGCTTCCAACACCAGGGCTTGCACCTTTAAAGCCTTCCGTCCCTTACATTCCCCAGGGGAGGGGAATGGATCACAAAGCTTTTTCCATCTCTTTGCAGCACTTTCTGACCTTCCCCCCCACATAAAGCACTGCTACCTTCCAGCAGCAAGCCTGGCCAATGTTTCCCTTACTTAAAGGTGTGATACAGTCATGGTTGGTGTTGTGCATGGACCTTGGGCTTCTTTTTTTACATACTGTACAAGATCATATTAACTTTACATAAATCAAATCCAACTAAATGTTAAGCAAAAAGCCAATACTCCAAGAACAGTTCACAAAATGTGGATACCCCAATACCTTATCCCAACTCTTCTTCTTTATTCCTTGATATGTATACATTTTATAAAATGTTAACACGTGGAACACTACAGCATTCCACAGTAAATCATAATTTAAATGGGACATTTAAGTGGCCTATTAAAGAGTACATGGTTTATAAATTAGAGAGGGCTCACCTGCATAAATATATATAAAACTTTTTTGTTATATGCAGTTTTTTATTGGTAGTCACAAGGGCTATATTTTCAAAGGTCAGCACAATGGTAGAATGCAGAATTAAATGTAGGTTGCTAGGAGAAAGATTAGAATTTGATATATGAGCAGGTTAAATGCATACCAATAAATACTAAATATAGAATGGAATTAATTTTCATCACCAACTATACCTCACTCCAAAACCAATTAATATAGAACATGGAGCTATGTACTAAATGTGAAAATCAAGACTGGAAATTTCATAGGACTGGGTAGGAAATGGTTTTCCCGTCCAACGAGAACTTTGAAATTCCAAAAAATTTTCCAGTCCCAGTTAGGATGAAAAGTCATGGCCTCAATTTTTTTGTGAACTGAAAATCTGAAAAAAATAATTCCGTCACATCAATCAAAACATTTTGTTTCAATTTCAAGTTGTTTCAATTTTTACATTAATTTATAGTATTAAAAAGATTTTATTTGGCAATGTAAGTTGTTTCAAACAAAAATAATTGATGTTCCCTTTCAAAATGAGTTAAACATGGTGTTCCAACAATTTTTTTGAAAATGTTTCAAAATCGAAGTGGGAAACTTGTCAAAACTGACCTTTTATACAAATGATTTTGGTTTCATCAAATTAGAATTTTCTGATAAAAACTGATTGGAAAAAAAAAATCACTCCCAGCTCTAAATTTTTATGCATTTAGGGCTTAATACAACTGCTGTTAAAGACAATAGAAAAACTATTTGCTTCACTGGAAACTGGATTGGATTCATGGTGTGTAAGAGCAGAAACACAGTATAGTTTTAGACAGAAGATCAGATCTATGGAATGGTTGCTAGATATGTTTACATTTTAACTAGTTTTGCAGAAAATGTATTGAGCAGTCATGAAACACATATGGAAGTTGTATTGTCATATGGGTAGTAAGAACATGAATAAGACGATGTTGGAAAAAAGGAATCATCTCTTCCAGTGTCTTATTACTTAATATCATCACTGGTCAACATTTTCCATCAAAACTGTTTAGTTTTTCCACAAAGTGTCTGCTTTCTCTTAAAAAATTCAGTTTAATCAAAACCCCAAATTGGAATATTTTCTTCTGTGGGCTGGGCTTCATGGCTAGCCTGCATCTCCCATGATGCTCCATAGCCAGAGACTTCCCCTGATTTGCCATCTTTTCTCTCTCTCCAAGAAGAAAGATAATAATGTATCATGGGAGAATTAGTCTGACCAGGGAGCCTACCCCATAGAAGAGAATAGGGCAGGAAACCAAGCTACAATTCCCAGGATGTCCCCTGGCAGCATTTCCAAACTGAAATATTTTGGTTTTCAGCCAAAATATTTCAGTATTTGAATTTTGACCATAAAAGTTAAGTTTTCTGTGGTGTGGGATTCACTTTTGTCCAGCTTGGCCTAGTCTGTCCCTCCACAAATGCAAGTCGACGCCACACCATTCTATTATGTTGTGATCACATTCTTTCCACTTCTGACCAAAGAGTTTTGTCATGGGATCGGCCCAGTGCATTTTTGGTCTGCCCAGAGGTCGCTTGTGGTCTCTGGGGATCCAGTCACTGATGTGGGTTGTCCACCTATCGTCTTGCCTGTGGGATTCGGAGGAACAAACAAAACACACCACAGAACGTTTTTTGACCAACTCTGCTTAATTCAGAAATTATCCAGGGACATTTAAGATGATATGGCTGATTTTCATTTAACACTATTTTAGTTATTTTTGAAATGTAGTTCTTTGTTATTTAATCCACTCAAGGCTGAATACTGGTTAAGTTCAGGGCTTCCAGAATTGACCTATTTGGCCTATTTGCCTCAAACTAAGCATACTTGTCAAGCTGAAATATACTGGCGTCCCAAGCCACATCCTCCCCAGTTGTAGGAAATCTTTTGAACAGATTCAGACTGCTGCCCTCACTGCAACATATAAAAGAAAGATAGACTCACAATCCTCTAGGTTGTCTCCTCAACTCAATCTTTGAGCTATACCCTACAGCTAATGAGCTCCGAAAAGGAGCAAAAGCATTTAAAATAGGCCCTGTAGTATTAACCTAAATTAATACCCTTCATGGCTTGGGCCTGAAGGCCTCAGTCTACCACTTGTGGGGGTCCCCTCTTAGGTGGGTTATCCCCTACAGGCCAGGCCAACCATCCCCCCTCACTATTCTCTGTTGCTCTATTAAATGAATACTGGATAGCACCCCCCAAAGCAGTTTGTGCACCGCACCATCAATAAATTAATGTTTGGCAGCCTCCCCACCAGTAAGTCATCTTTCCTGGGCCCTAAATCTTTGCAGGGCTTTGTCATTGCTGCTGCTCCTGCTTCTCCACTAGTGTACGGAAGGCTCACAATTTCTCAGCTTCTTATTCTAAAACCTTGGCCTTCTGTGCTTCTCACTTCCTCTCTCCCCTACTCTTAAAGGAGCAGCGGCTCAAGAGACTTGTCTCCTTCCTTCCTCCCATCCTTTTTTTAAAGTACAGCATCTCAGGGCCATTCTAGCCCCTTTGACAAGAAGTGCAATGTCTCAGGCCAGTCTGCTCCCATGCACCTGATTTCCCCTTTTCTAAATCAATTAGATCTTGTCTCCACCTTTTTTTTCACCAGTAAGGCTCAAATTTGAACCTATATGATTATATCAGTATAACTTGCCACATAGACACTCTTATTCCCATATGAGAGTAGCCTCATGGGGGGAGGGGGTTTATACTAGTATAAATTATCACTATAACTGGTAAAACTTTCCCATGTAGACAGGCTTTTAGTAGTGCACAGGTTGCTTGTTTCCTTCGCTTACAGCCCGTTAAAGGCCCAGTGGTGCTTGGGCCAGTGTTTCTGTCATCTCCCCTCACCTTTAGTGAAAGTAACAGTGTTGGCTCAGCCTTCTTGCCAAGGAAAAAATTCTATTTAAAAGAAAAAAGAATGAGAGACACAAAGCACCTAGGTGTAAGAGGAGGTGCACCTGAATGGCTGAGAAGAACCTCCTTTATGTTATGAGGAGAGCCAGGGTAGCAGGGCAGCAACTTTACCACCATCCTGGAGAAGAGGTTCTGGGCTTAGTTTAAATGGATTTATTGGGGAGGGGAGCATAAACTGAGGTGGCTGTTTAGTATTTATTAAATGGGGCAGAAGAGAGTATAAATTAATTGGATTTTCAAGGCCTGTTTTTATTATAGATGTGTGTTTTATATAGCACATTTTAGATAAGGGAAAAAAATCAGGAGCTAAATATTGTTCCGCCTTCATTCGAGACTAACTATACACAACAAACTCACATAAATACATGTTATGTTTTCTTGTAAACACTTGTGGAGCTAAAAAATATTTAGATGTACATTCAAAATATTGAAACCATGTTTTCCAGTGAATGTGTATCAGTATGAATTTTGATTTGTCTTTTTCCAAGAGACATTGGCCTTATCCCTTGGGCTGGAAAAGGGAATCCTTTGGCAGTTCCCACTACATAAATTTGTGTGGGAAGCTCTGAAAGTAACTTGATTCCTGCTCTTGCCTGTGTAATGCTGCTGCTGCTGCTTCTGGAAATCTACCCTTGTGCAAAAGTGATCCTTCAGTAGGAGGGAGAATAGGGAGCCAGTGAAGGACTATGAGATGAGAAGCTAGAAAATCAGCATATCCGACTGCCTCTGTGCGAAGGCCCTTGATATATGAAAAGGTACTTTTGTGTAGGAGGCAAGACATTTATATGAAACAGATAATGACAATGTAATGAGTTGTGGAAGACCTTGTAGGAGAAGGGGAATTAATACATATACACATGCGCAGCGTAGTGTAATTTTACCAACATTATTTTAATGAATGGAGAAGGACAAGCAATCCTCGGCAATCTACCAGCAGGATTCTATTTTACTTCAAAGAACATTATAATTATTATTCACATTGTCTCTGTTCTACCAAAACACTTACATGAAGCTGATAGTTACAGTGCCTTCAGAGATCACCACCAAGTGGTAGGAATCAAATGTAAGATTGATGAGCTCCCAGGTGTTGCAGTTGAGTTTTTCTAACTCATACTTATCCTGCCATGTATTTATATTGGTTTTTAATTCTGTTCCTCTTTACAACAGCCTAGATGATTTGCTAAGATGTGGGGTGACCTTCGCTGCCAACATGGTGGTTGTGGACAAGGAAAGTACTATGAGTGCTGAGGAAGACTATATGGCAGATGCCAAGACTATTGTAAATGTACAAACTCTCTTTAGGTAAGCGATTTTGTAACTAACCCATACAGCTATGTTAAGCGTGAAATATTTTAGAATTATTTTTGTTGAGAGGGAGATGGAAGTGTGGCTTCGCAACGATTTCTCTTAACTTCATTTTTTTCTTAAACACCACTTTATATGATCAAGCAAAAGTTATTGCTGCTTCACGGTAATATACTCAGGTCTCTTGGGACATGGAAGGGTAAGACTCCAGCTCTCAGATATGACTCCTCACATTCCAAGATGGCAACTTGCTACTTCTCCAGAGGCTTTGGAAGGTAGCTGACTAGTCTGTGGGAAGGGAAAGAAGGCCAGTCAGCCACCCCGGAAGACTTGAGATAGAGGAAGGTCACTGGACCTTTGCCTTAACAAACATCTTGTGATTAAGGCCATAATCCTAAACTCATTATAGACAGTGGGCGCTGGGAGAGAAGGAGGAATACAAATTAGGTGAGTGAAGGATTGATGTACAGTAACTTGGACAGTTGTTCAGATTTTGAATCAAACTAGAATTTTGCCTCTTTTGAGAGGTAGCCACTCCTAGTTAAGGTCTGTGTTACATATCACAAAGTTCCAGGGGACAGGGAGGGAAAATCTGAATCCAAATATTGAAGAAAAATAACAGGTTCTCTTTCACAATTGGAATTACATAAACCAGGGGTCGGCAACGTTTGGCACGCGGCTCGCCAGGGTAAGCACCCTGGCGGGCCGGGCCAGTTTATTTACCTGCTGACGCGGCAGGGAAGCCGCAGCCAGCACATTGCTCGCCCGCGCCGCTTCTCGCCACCCCCATTGGCCCGGGACGGCGAACCACGGCCAGGGGGGCCGCGATCGGCCGAACCTGCCGTGTCAGCAGGTAAATAAACTGGCCCGGCCCACCAGGGTGCTTACCCTGGCGAGCCGCGTGCCAAATGTTGCCAACCCCTGACATAAACCATTCACTCATTGCTTGCAAACGATCCAGCAATAACTATGGGAAGGAACTAGAAGATAAAGTGCATATGTGGTCATAAGAGTTATTTTTGTCTTTCTCTAGGTCTAATAATAATCAGAAGGGACTAATGTGTTCAAAGTAGTACTTTAAATTGGTTCTCTTAACAAGTTTTAATTAACAATATACCATAGCTAAGTCCTATCTTGATAATTTTCACGTACTTTTCCATCTGTTCTGCTCCTGGTAGAAGGTCTATGATCACGGCAAATTAACAGAAGTAGTCAGACATGTTTCCACTACAGCAGGCTCTCTTCCCTTTTGTCATAGTGTCATCTATACCATCAGGATTAACTGTAAAGAGAACACTTGCCAATATTTCCATTACTGATGATTAGGTCCCACTAATTCTTTTCCCTTGTAGAAGAACAAATGCCTCCTAGCTCATTTGGTAGATCAGTACAGTTCCCAGTAAAGCACTAAACCCTCTCTCTGAGCACGGATTTTTAGCAGCAGGCCAGACTGTTCAAAGGATGCAAAAAAAATCAGGACAAAACCTTGCTTGCTTTAGCCAGAAAAGACACTCACACAGCTCACAAAGAGGAGAAAAAAATCTCTCTTTAAAAAGTATTGCTCAAAGTCAGAAAAAGTGGAAGGAGGCTGAGAAGATGGTGCTCTGATGAAGAGCAAAATGGGTTTCAACTAAGGTTTGTTTTTGTACCCACTTTTGCCTAAGAGCCTGGCTGGAATTCAATGGCATCTCTTTAAGATCCTGATTCAGCAAGGCAACTAAGTAGGCACTTAGTGTTAAGGATATGAATAGCCTATTGGCTACAGTAGTGCTACTCACATGCTCAAAGATAGGTATGTACTTAAGTGCCTTGTCAAATCATGGCCAAGAGCCCTAAAATGAGGAAATGATTAATTCAAAATGCATTTTTGCCAGTGTAGCACAGTTTAACTATTAGGCCTTCAGTCCTTCACCTTAATGAGAATTCAGTATCCCTTCAAATGAATTCCAAGGGAGTTTTGACACAGTAGAGATTGTAGGATTGGGCCCTTCATTTCGACAAGTCCATAGCATGCTGAAATTTCATCTGCAAATATTGTAGAAACTGCACTCAATCTCATGAGGAAACAAAACATTTCAAGTGAGAAATTGTATGAAACTGGCAGTGAAATAAGGAAATGGGGGGTGGGGGGATTTCATTCTCCAATAGTCTTAGTTTTGTGACAGATCTTTTCTTTTGACATTTCAGCCAAAATAGTTGAGGCCATTTCTATGAATGAGGCTAGGGAAAAATAAGTTTGTTTGTTTGTTTTTAATGAGCAAAACAAAGAGAGACCTTTTTTGAACAAGTCTAGCACTCCATTCTTTGGAACAGGGACTTCAAATGTGGGTGGGAGTAGCCTTTGTGGGAGAGGATGGCCTTTTGCCGCCACATGAAAACCCTTAAAAATCCAAGGTATAAGCCCTTGAAAAAAATAAAGGTTGCACATGCTCAAAGACTTCTTACATTTTAGTAGCTATATTCACAGAGATTCAGTTTGCGTAGAGCCTATTCCAGCCCAGGGATGAGCAGAACTTCCCCTGCAATTGCAGCTCTGAGCTGTTTTGGGCCATGCCAAGTCTGGACCTAGGCATCTGTGAAATGCCTTGTTGAAGTAACTCCCACCTGCACTGATCACAAACATCCTTCCAACATGCAAGTCACACTCTCTGTGTATGTGTGTAACTGTAGCCCGCCAGCCACACCTGGGTTATACTATGGCTATCACCAGCCGTGGCTATACGTCAGGGTGACCCCAGCACACCCTGACTCTTAGATTTCCCCCCAGAAATATTTGTCCTATAGTTCTGAGCCTTCTGAATAATACAAGTTATGTCAGGTCCGTTATTTCTTTAGATAAATAATATCCACGGAACTTGCCACCCCCCCAATGGAGTTTCCAGATACTTTAGTTTAGACACACTAGGTTGGACAAAACAATAAAACAAGTTTAGAAACGACAAAGGATAGATTTTAAGTGAGTACAAGTACAGAGGCATAAGAGTCAGAAGTGGTTGCAAGACAATTAAAATTAAAATACAAGTGGTGCCTAACTTAAACCACATTAAATTCAAAGCAAAAGTTCTCAGCACATGCTTTAAGCAGTCTTACTGACCCAACTGCTTAGGCCAGGATCTCTTCTCCTAGAATCCAACTAATTCTTGCTGCAGAGGCGTAGTGAGCGCCCTCCGTACCCTCCGACCGGAGGGGGCCCCACAAGGAAGGGGGCCCCTAAAAGTGGCAAAATAAATACCGCATTCCAGTTTCTGCATTGTAAGGGGCCCCGCCCGGACATATGTTCGGAGGGGGCCACCATTCGGAGGGGGCCACGTTCTTTGTTGCTACGGCCCTGTCTTGCTGTGTCACTCCAGGACAGGAGGAGGAGATTGGGACAAGGAACTATGGTAGGGTGAGCCTAGGTCTGGAAGCTGGCAGAGGGGAAAGAGATGGAACCTGGGACTAGGAGCCGGGGGCGGCAGGGGAGAAACAGGCCAGAAGAGTCTGTGGCTAGTAAAGGACTCTCCCCTCCAAACCCTAGAATAGAACCCAAGATTCCAAAGTTTCACCATTCCCCTGGTTTCAGTGAATATCTGTGAAATCCACTGGCAAAGTGTCCCATCCCTATTTAGGGCTGGTCCACATAGAGGATGGCAATCTACTACTGCTAGAATTTAGTCTGTTAGCTCAAGTGCCAGAGATGAGGGTGGTGGATACACTGATGAACCACGTGGGTGTCAACACATGATCGAATTTCATTTTTTTTAAAGCAAACAAACAACAACCCTAGAAAATTACACAAAAATATTTTCAGAGAACATTAAGGTTTCAAAGTCAAGTACCCCAAAGTTAGGAAAAGCCATAATTAAGTTTGGCTCTGCAGATATGTACAATTGTTCTATGTCTGTTAACAACTTGCACCATGTTTTCACTAGATGGCAGCATAAGCTCATATCTGAAGCATAACTATTATTATAAAAATATATCATTACAGGGGTGAGAGGAGTGAGATTTTCTTTGTGTTTTTGACCAAGTTAGAAAAGAAAACTAGGTCTTAAAATGAAATATTTACCCATAACTAGATTTTCAGAAAGCTTTCATAATCTTTCACCAGTAGTATTTTATAAAACAAATGACAGAGGAATGGAAGAGACTAGTTTCCACCCTGTGCACCAACATTAAAGGAGAAAGGATGTAAAAAGATGTATCAAATATTGATGAGGTATTAATATGTAGAAATAATTTGTTACTAGTGAAAATGCACAGCATTTAGATCAGAGGTTTACATTCTTCATAGAATTTTGTAATGAGTTTCATAGGGCTATTACTTTCACAGTTTTATTAATGATTTTAGACCAAGCTAGAATGCATATGGTAAGGTCATTACATATGCAGATGATAGCAAATTTAGAGTCATAATTATGGGTGGAGGTGGTGGATGAAGATTGCCTAATCTAGAATATTCTATAAAATAGCTGAGAAGTTTAGTGTTTGAACACGCTATTCAATACATGTTAGCACAAAGTGATATTCTTTAGCAGAAATAATGCCCAAATAAATTATATTTCAAAAAATTTTCTGAGAGTTAATATGATGGGGAAAAGGGTTCCATGTATAAATAATCTGAGCAGGATGTGAGAGGGAGAGCAATTCAGGTTGGATTCTAGTAAACATGATTCTACATTTGAGATTTGCTTTGTAATAAAAAAGCAGCAAATTGTTACCTGAGTTTTTCATGGCAACACTATAAAACAATTTTTAAGCATTGAAGTATTTTGTTAAAATATGTAGTTCATGACTACAATGGTCTTTGCATCTTTGATTCAATAGTATCTTTAAAAATTGAGTAAAGTGAATATACAGTAGAAACTAAGTCACATTGAATGGGATCATTCAAAAATTTAGAGACCATTTTCTAAATGGAATCATTTAGACCTTTGACCTCAGTAAGGTAAAATAATACTGTTGAGCCTAGGGTGTTGATTCTTATGAAAGCTTTCTGACATTGCTCAGTGTTTTAC